GATTCCCAGTCAACATTTTCTTGGAATTTCGCTGCTTTATAGTCCAGGGTCACTTTAAGTAGCAAGCTCACTTCATCATCACTCCAGACAAAGGTATCCGTGCGTTTGCTTTTGCCATTGTGTCTTCTTTGTTTTGGTTTGTAATCACCGCGTTGTAGAGGAAGGCGCTTCAGCGCAGGTGCGTGGTGTCATGTCTTGGTGTTGCTTTGAAAATTTACACTGCCACCCATTGGCCTGGTGTGCACACTACAGCGTTTCCAGTAGATTTTGTGGCTCCATGTGAACGGGGATCATTTCAATAACGTTGTCATATAAACGCAGAAGTTTTTTAAAACGCAAAGGACAGACTTTTTCAGAGAGACCGTTGTCGTGTTAACCAGGGCTTGAAGCTCAGTGTCAGTTACTATGGCAACTGACTGTTTGAATGAACCTATTCGGGAGCAGGTTTTCTTCAATGAACCTCGAGTTTCTAGCTGTCTCCTCCCTCTTACGCCACACATGCACTGTGATTCATTCATTCATTCGTTTAGTGTCGTGCGGGTTTCAGCGAGTTTGATCTGTCCTCAAGGTAAAGTCAGATCCTAAAGTGTGTTCTCGTTCTGAATCTACTTTTTTTGACCATGGCATGTCCGTTCTTGGAGGACCCTGTGGACGAAGAGCAGTTACTGAGTCAGGAGATTATTCACAGGCCCAGAATTGACATATTATCATTTCCAGAACATTTTTTTTTTTGAACGGTGTGGTTTCACATCACAGTCCATCATTTAAATCCATAACCTCATCCGTCGTGACATAACCAACGTCACCAACTGTGGACGTGCACTTTCATCTACCCAGATTCTTTGTGTTGCTCTTCATTTTTTGCAAACAGGAGTTTTCTGTATAATATAGGAGATGCAGAAAATATCAGTAAGGCCGCTGTCTGCAGAGCCGTGAGAAAAGTGTCCCTAGCTCTGAAACGTCTATTAAACTCTTTTGTTGTTGTGTTCCCTGGACATAAGCCTGTGAGGGTCATCAAGGAGGAGTTCCACAGGATTGCAGGTGAATGATGTAGAAATCAGTTAAAATTTATGATTATGAATCATATTCAGTTAATGATATGGTGCTGCAACCTCAGACTGGGATTAGTAATTTTAATTTCTTTTAGGATTTGATAGGGTGCACTGATGGAACCCACATTCCCATCATTGCTCCCTCACAAAATGAAGGAGACTATGTGAATAAAGTCCATTCACAGCATTAATGTGCAGGTAGACTGACTGTCTCAAAATGTCAGACTACATCACACTGCAAAAACTCAAAATCATACCAAGAATATGTGTCTTATTTCTAGTCAAAATGTCTCATTTCTAGTCAAAACAAATCACACCTAAAAGTAACTTGTTTTTAGACAATTTTCACTTGTTTCAAGCACATTTTCACTTGAAAAATAATTAGAAAAATCTGTCAGTGGAGCAAGTTTGTTATTTCTACTTATTTCAATTGAAAATGTGCTTGAAACAAGTGAAAATTGTCTAAAAACAAGTTACTTTTTAGGTGATGTGCCTTAAGTGTAAAGACATTTGATTTGATTAGAAATGAGAAATGTAGACTAGCAACTAACATCTGTCATTCTCTGCACTGTCAAGATCATATGTGATGCAGCCCACATTATCACTAATGTGGAGGCCAAGTGGCCTGGGTCGGAACCCGGTTATTAGGCTGAAGTCTTATCTGTTTGAAAGATGTTTTTATATTTCATCTTGAGCTGCTTTCACGTTCTTTTTCGCCAGTGGGATTGTATCTAAGTGAACTAAATTTTAGCTTTAACACCATTCCACCTGTTTGCATCTGTAGCCTAATATTATTGTGATTGCATAAATGTTTAAAATAAATTTAAACTTTCGTATTGACTCGAGCGGTAATTTTTCTCCCATGCCGACTCCCGTTCCTTCGCTGCTGCAGCCGTGTTACTCTTCTCCCTGAAAACAGCTTCAAATTCACTGTATGAGCGCATTAAAATATCGAACTCCAGAGGAGTAAAAAAATGCAGACCTTTTCTTGTTGCCATGGTGAATCCATGGTATAGGGGCTCCATTGATGACAGCTTTTTAAAGTCGTGGTGCACGCGCTCAGAGTGAACAAACTCTGTGTTGCATGAACTGATTGAAATCACCTGCTCTGAAACCCGTAACCCAGAGTTTCCCATCTCAGAGTTACTCAACTCAGAGTTCAGGGTTAGGCTCAGAGTTTGTTGAACCTCCTTTCCGAAACAGACCCCTTGACACCTTCATAATGCTGTAGCATGAAATTCATAACACTGCGTCAAATGGCGTTGTTGCCGCAGAGCACCAAACTTCAATCCTTCGCCATGACACATTAAAGTTGCTATAACTTCAGTTTACGTGCTCCAATCACCATGAAACTTTATGTGTTTGATTACCAGCCCTGAACACATCTATGGGTCAAAATTTATTCATAGTCACCCACTGGTAACAAAAATTTATTGGCCCACGATAGGCCACACTGCATTGTCATACTGTAACCTACAAAAGTGATTAAAAGTGTATTCTGGACACAAGATGTGGGACTTTATTCATGTGAAAAGGCATTTTGAAATCTTGTACGGTTTTCATTCCTTCGCAGTTTTAGTTTCACGTTTATGTTTGGAGCTCCTCTCAGATTTCTCAATGTGTGTGTATTGCTTCACTCTGAGTGGAGTCACATGACCTTAGAGTGGCGAGCAGAGCTGAAGTTTTTTTAAATCCTTCAAATGACCCTCTACAGACATGATTATAGGACATGTAGTTGTAGGAAATTTGTGCTCGTCCAGACATGGTGGTTTGGAGTTAATAGGCCAATCACATTGAGCACAAGTTGATTAATTAGGAGAGCAGTGCATGCATTAACTCAATTCACTGCCTGTTTAAAGAAACCACAAATCTATGGAGAACTAGAAAATAGTTTTGTTCCTCTAAATCTCACATTTGGAGAAATCAAAGCACAACATTAAAACCTGTAATTAACAAAGAGCTCCTGCCTTGACAAATCACCTTGATTTTACCATTGGTCACTTACACTCATGCTATGTACCGGGACACTGCTAACGCTGCTGCCGGGATACAGCTGAGGAGGAGCCGGCTGCTAATGCTATGTACCGGGACACTGCTAATGCTGCTGTAGCTCAGTCGTAACTGTAACTGATGCTGAGACTCTACTGACTGTGTGACTGGTAGACGGCGGTGGGTGGCACAACAGGCCAAAACAAAAATTCAAAACATAAACATGATTTGCGGACTGTAAAAATGTTTTTAAAATGCGAATATTCTGGCTGTACTATTGTTGTCGGTGAGATCAGTATGTTATATGAACATTATTCCTTAGTCTCTGTGACATATTAGGAAGATTTTACGACTATTTGCTTTAGATTTCTTACATATAGCTCCTTTAACTTAAGAGCTACTTTTCCTATTGAAATGACAGGCTATCTGTTTTCTCACCTCAGCGCCCCTCCCCCCTTCACCTTACTCAGAGCTGTGTGTGTGTGTGTGTGTGTGTGTGTGTGTGTGTGTGTGTGTATGAGTGAAGTAGTACAGAGAAGAAGTGTTTTTGCAGTATAACAAACTAGATAGATACTGTAGATAGAAAGGCCTTGACACCTTGATAATGTTGTGGCATGAAATTCATTTTTTTTTTAATTTCATCAAACAATCGCTGCTGCAGAGCGCCAAACTTCGCCATGACACAGGAAGTTGCTGTAACTTCAGTTTACATGCTCCAATCTGCCTCAACCTTCACGTTTGATGACAGTCCTGCCCTGAACACATCTACAGGCCAATCAACACTCACGGTCAGAGTGCCATCTACTGGCAGAAGGAAGTAAGCCTTACATCACAAATATCATTGCATTTATGGGACATTTGCACATTGTTATCTACACTTCATCACCTGTGATGTCACATGTCAATAGTGGCTGATCTATAACGGCGCCTACTGGACACAGGAAATGATGTTTAATGGCGTTGTGCAGCATCTGAAAGACGTGGCGATTTGGAGCCGCGTCCACGACCTCTGCCGGCCATCCCATGGCCACCACTCCCCTGACTCGCGTGGGCTGCAAGGGCCCGTGCATTGATTTTTTCTTTCTGTAATTCTTTCTAATATATTTGACATTAAATTAATCAAAATGATTAATCGGTTATTAAAATAGTTGCCGATTAATTTAATAGTTGACAACAAATCGATTAATCAACTAATTGTTGCAGCTCTGAACAACATCTCCAAATTTGTCCCTTTTTCAGTATAAAGAAGTAAAACATTGTGAAAACATTCACAGGGTTTGTAGAACAGTGCAGTTTCAGTAACATAAATCAGGACTTGCTGTGAGTTTAATTGAAAAAAAAAATGGAAATAATTGCATCTCTGCAATTTTCACACTTTGAAAAATCATCCAGTGGGCCGGACTGGACCCTTTGATGGGCCCAATCTGGCCCGCAGACCGGATGTCTGACACCCCTGTTATACAGCAACCAAAGTTGGTTTCAACATACCATTCCTTAAGCAGAAATTATTTTCCTTTACTTTTCCCTTCAGGATAAAATTAGCTTTAATAGCTTTCCTCTACCTTCAAGGATTTTAGTCACTGTTATTTTTTATATTTATATTATAATTATAATAATTATTATTAGGCTGTTATATTGTTATTAGTAGTAATAGCAGTAGTAGTGGTAGCATGTTATTATCATTATTATTATTATCATTATTTTTTAATAATAATAATAATAATTCATTTTAATATCAATATGTAGGGGATTTATAAAAAGCTCCTTGCACAAATGATAAAAATGTCAGCAAAGTTGTACATTTTGAAATAACTTGGATGTTGCAGATCTTTTTGAAATTTCTAACGGCTAACAAGCAAATCCCTCCCCTCTGTTGTCTTGGCGGAGTGATTTGGTCGCACACCTGCTGTGGAAAGATCTAGGAGTAATTTACCTGTCGGACACCTTTTGCCGGTATATCATTCTTGACCTCTTGGACGTAAAAGGAGAAGGCTTCAGTCAACGTATGCAAAGGTAAGAAAAATCTATAAATTAATTTGGCCATGGTAATGGTTGGCTGCTATTGTTTTTATTTTTTTGTGGGACAGCAAGCTAGCCTTGTCAAGTACGTCTTTAGTTGTGAGCAATGGATTGTTGTGAACTGGCGCCATATTCCACCTGGCTTAAAATTGCACGACGGAATGAGGTAAAGTTAACACTTTGGTCTACAGAGATAAAATTGATTGAAATATAAGTAGTAAAATCAGAGATAGTAGCGTGCTTGTGTGTTTTGGAGGGGAGAGCAGTAGTGCATGGCTTGAGTTAACGTTCCAGCTAAGTCCTTGTTTTGTTGGTTGTTTGGTGTGGTTGGGTTACGGCCAACAGTAACCTGAGTAATAAACGGTGGTTTGCCGAATAACCGCGTCATCCTTCCACACGTCCTGGCGGACGCTACAATATTAACGTTAGCCTATATACTTGTGGGTAGGGATGCGAATGTTCATGTTTTTTTCTAACCCATATAGCGCTGTGAAATGAATATAGGCCGACGCAAAAATATAACTTAGTAAACAGCGTGTGGCCGCCCGACTTTCTAATTAACAAACACGTTAACAATGTGGACACGCATTGAATCCTCCGGCACTGAGACCATTGTAGTTAGGCTAAATATAAAACCTGTAGCAGTCAGCAGGTGAACACAATGGAGCGCAGAGACAGTCATGAAGAGTCTGATTCTTTTTCCAGCGGTGAAGAGGATTAATATTATTATATTATTATATTAATAAGGGGGAATAACAACAGTAAGCATGATCAGTTCACGTAGGCCCCCAAAGGCCCATTGTAAGCCAGGAGAATCCCTGATAATCGGTAGAGATGGGTATTGAGAAGACTTTAACGATACTAGGCTACTACTCTTAAGGATACTGCTTATTGATCCGGTACTTTAATGGTACTCTTGTCAGTTATTTTTGTTGTTGTTTTGTTAAGATAAAAAACATAAATAAATGAAGGACTGATTTAAAATTTCTTGATTTTTCTTATGTGCTGTATATAAATTTACACTGAGTGAGTAGCAGGTGGGTTTGGCTCAAGGCTGCAAAAGTTGCAACACAGGTTAATTAAATTGATGCTCTGACCATCTGATCTCAGATCTGAGCCTCTGGAACGACGCTACTTTTAGTCAATTATCAGTCCATGATTCTATAGTTAACTCCGTGTGGCTCTGCGCAGCATCATACAACATACCTGAGGTGGATGGGGTAACATGAGATGAACTACAGGCAGGCTGTCAAAAACTCTGCATTTTTCCGCCTGAATGTGATGCGCTTCTGCTAAATGTGTCGGCAAATTGTTAGGGATGCACCGAATATTCAGTAACCGAATATATTCAGCCGAATATTGCAAAAAAACACACATTCGGTTTTCGGTGGAAAAAGTGAAAAGCAAGGCCGAATAATAGCAGCATGTTTTGATAACGCAATCAAACAGCGTGCAGTGATGGACGGATTAAAATGTCGGCAGTGTGGCGATAATTTACTCCGTCCTTCACCGCACTCGCATTTGTGACTAAAAATAGTTTTGTTCGTGCAAAATAAATCATTCAGCATGCTGTGTGAGTACAGATTTCAACCAGCAGCAGAAACGAAAGGCGAATCCCGCCGGTTGTGGGTTGAATGGGCGTCACAGACACAGACAGGAATGCATTCCTGTCAAATACGGCGGCCATAGGCTTACCGGCGATGGAGAAGTCCGGCTCCAATAATGTTCTCTTCTTGGCGTCACGACTGCCCAAAAGTACCTGAACAGCCGAACCGTGGCGGCACACAGGTGTGTGACGTGTCAGAGGAGAAACGAGCCGTTCACTTTTCTCTGTTTGTGGCAGGTGACGGTCCACAAACCTCACCGCACTTTAGGGACTGTTCTTTACTTATGAAGGGACTGTTCTTTACTTGTCAGGGGAGGAGGGTGGCTGGTTGATTTTTATTTTATTTATGTATTTTATTTTGATCCCCCCCCTATGTTAATCACTTATTGATGCTGTTTTTGAAGTATGAATAAGTCAATAAGTAATTTATTCCATTGAAACATCATTGATGTATTATAGAAAAGTGATTCATCTTTTTATAAATGACAAAAGGCACATCTACCTCATTCTTGCCGTGGTATCGTGATACTACTCAGAACCATGATACTTTCACTGGTATCGTACAGTGGGTCCCAATTTTGGTACCGTGACAACACTAATCTGGAGGGGGTTCATCTGCAAAAACTAATGAAAAACTAAACAACGGCATTCGGTACTTGGTATTCAGCCAAGCGTTTAATTTTATTTGGCTTCGTCCACAAATTTTCATTTCGGTGCATCCCTACAAATTGCTCGTGTTACAGCCCTCACGTGCGAAGGTCTTGTTGTTCTTATGGCAACACAACCAGAACTTTTGACCGTTTACTTATCTTCTCCACTGTCGCTAGAGCAGGTCGCTCTTTCTCTCCGCGAGTACAGCTGTGTGTGTGTGTGTGTGTGTGGCAGAGCTGGTCCCACCCGCTGCACAGGTACAGACAGGACCTTAGACGAGAGACAAATAGACCAATATCTAGATTTTAGAGTAGTTGATGATGGAAAAGGTGAAAAATAATGGTCCTCCTCCTTTTGTTTTTATAATTTTTTCAGTACAGATAGCAGAACTGTTAACATCAGAGCTTATCAATATTGAGGTATCTAAGAAATCAGCCCTGGGCCCTGTTAAATACTGGGTTGCAGTACCCATCTAATCAGTTTTGAATCTTACAATCGCACATTCATTTAGCAGAATAGAAGAAGCCAAATTGATGAACTGCTTGGTATTTTGAAAGATGAAGGTTTAGATGTACCCAAGGATTCTTCTAGGATTCTAGGACATTATTGAAAACGCCTAGACAAATCCAGACAGAGGACAAGTGTGGTGGACAGTACATTTATTTTGGAATTGAGCGCTCTGTTGTGAAAATTATTGGCCAGAACAGCAAGTTTTTGGAAAGTTCAAACTCTGTGGACCTACTAGTGAACATTGATGGAGAACTCTTTTCAAGTCGTCTAATGCCCAGTTCTGGCCAATCATCTGCCGTTTCAGTGACTTTGAACTATTTATAGTTGCACTTTTCTATGGTGTATCTAAGCCTAACTCTGTTGACGATTTTCTTGGAGACTTTTAACTGAATATACAGAACTACAGAAAAGCCACATCACTGTGAATGGCAAAGAAATCCATGTGTGCATCAAAGCCTTTGTTTGTGACTCTCCAGTTCGAGCGTTCTTGAAGTGTATAAAAGGACACACTGGATATCACTGTTGTGAAAGATGCACAATTAAGGGAGAGTATAAGAACAAAAGAGTCGTGTTCCTGGGAGACTACCCATTAAGAACCGATAGAGATTTCTCTAATGGACTTTATGTTGATCATCAGGTTGGAGTATCCCCTTTACTTAATGTTGGAATAAGATGTGTCACAGGTTTTTCTCTTGACTATATGCATCTAGTATGTCTTGGAGTTGTGAAAAGACTGCTTTGCTTTCTAAAACAAGGACCAGCTGAATGTAGACTGTCACACAGAAAAGTAGGGGAGATTTCAACTAATCTTGTGTCTTTATCTGGGAAGCTGCCTAGTGAATTTGCTTGCCAACCAAGGCCCCTGGCAGAATTAGATTGGTGGAAAGCCACAGAGCTTAGGCAATTCCTTCTATACACTGGACCTGTAGTTTTGAAAAAGGTGTTGCACAGGAATGTATAAGAACATTTTCTCTGCCTGACAGTAGCTGTGTCAATCCTTCTGGACTCCTGTGAGAGTAAGCGTGCTGCTTACGTGGACTATGCTAAACAACTGTTGAGCTATTTTGTAGACAAATGTAAGCATATAGACACTGACATTTTTTTGGTGTATAATTTTCACAACTTGAAACATCTGTCAGATGACTGTGGATATTTTCAGTGTTCTCTAAATGATGTATCTGCATTTCCTTTTGAGGATCATCTGAGAATTTTGAAGAAACTAGTGAGAAATGCCAAGAATCCCATCACTCAAGTTTCAAAGCGACTTTTTGAACATGAGAGGGCAGAAAGCCACAGAAAGATGGCTCACAAAAGTTGGCATTTTGTTTCAGCAAACAAGAAAAATGGATGTTTCCTCTTGCACAATGAACACTTTGCCTTTGTGAGAGAAAAACCTCATGATGGACGTTTGTTATGTGACATCATATCACAAAAAAGCCTGGAAAGCTTTTTCACTGTGCCTTGTAGGATAGACCGATATGGATTTTTTAGGGCCGATACCGATTTTTTTCCATCACCCTTAGCGGATGACCGATTATGGACTGCCGATTTTCTTGAGCCGATATTTGGGGCCGATACTGCTTTTGCTCCCTCAATTTACATCAAAAAAATGACACAATGATAACAAATATTACAGGTCTCAAGTTTAAAATAAGAAACATTTATTGAACAGTAAAAAATACTAAAACAAGATGGAAAGTTGAGGTAGAACAGGTAGAATATTATTATTATTATTATACATTCAAAAAAAAAAAAGAGTTCAGTGCTCTTAAATCTTCCAGTAATGTCTTTATAAAATAAACAAATATTTAAGCTGAAGCATGAATAAAACAACAACTACTGTACACAGTAGGATTCGCTGCATGTGCGCTGCAGGGTCTTCCGGCAACACAGAGCTGCCCGTGGATGCCTGTCTGTAAATCATGCCAGGGAAAAATAAATCCGCGAACCCACGCGCGTATCGGCCGATGCCGATACAAGTAAAAAAACTCAAATATTGGCCCGATATATCGGCCGGCCGATGTATCGGTCTATCCTTACTCCAAGCTTATTAATGTTGTGTTTGTCCGAAACTTTGAGAGATTTTGAAGATCCCGCTGCCACACAGAGATGCGCTGCAGAATAGAACATAGCAGCATCTGTCTTGGCTTTTCACTGCAACTCTGCTTTGAGATTTACAGAATTATTACTTTCAAAAGTAATAGTAACAGTAAAACTGTTTGTGTTTATTTAATAATTTGCCTCAAAGCTTTTTAGTAATCCAGTTATTCGAGTTACTTGAGGAACTGTTTCAGCCCTAAATGTTGTTATTTTTATTTCATGGCAGAAGTCTTGTAATTATAATGATGTGCCACAGTGAAACCTGTTCATGGGAAAACAATGTTAATAATTTTGCCTCATCAGCAGGGGGTGTAGATTTTTTAAGCCATGTTTTAATTTGTCAGTGTGTTTTCTTTCAGGATGGCTTGGGTTAGGGCAGTGTGGCAAGAAAAAAAGCGTCAAGAGGGGACAGTGCCAGACAGCTGGGTGGACAATGAAAATATGTTGGTGTTTTGGCCAAATGTTGCAAATGCAACTAAATATTTGAAAGAGCGACGCATACCATCAGATGGATGGAGGAAATTTCCTCTTGTTAAAGAGAAAATGAGATCTGGTAGGTTACATCTATTTTGTGCACTTTGTATAAAGATAATTAACCTGCCATATCAAGGTAATGAATTGACAACCTTTTTGCGTTGCCATTGTTTGTTATTTATGATTTACAGATGACTTCAAAGACTGTGAAAACTGCGATTTCACGAGCAGTACAGAGGCTGAAGAAGGTCCAACCGAAGCAAAAAGAAGAAGAAAAACCAAACCAACAGAAGAATTTTTAACAGGTATTCATTTTACTTTATTATTAATCAAGCAATTCTTATCTGTTTCAAAAGTAGTTGTTCATGCATATCTTGCATAGGGCCCTATGATTTCCGCGATCAGGAAATTGCGGACGGAATTGCGGAATTGACCAATAAACATGGAATTTACTATTAAATGCGGAATCTCGCGGAAATTGACATAATTTCACTAAAATACTGTTTTCGTGGGGAAGAGGAATGGGGGAATTTACCCCGGGGGACCGCTAATGCGTTGCACACCCAGTAACATTACAACACAGTCCCTCCCCTTCCAAAACAATTCGGCATGTTGAATCGGCCGCTGCAAGCTCCGTCTGTCGTCTTCATGGATAGATGCAACTATTCAACAGTTTCCCAAGCCGTACTAGCCTCCCTCCACAACAGCAATTTGGACCTGAGTGATGTCTGGGCAGTGATCACAGATAATGCTGCCTACTGTCTGAAGGCATACAGGGATGTCCTGAAAGGAGTGATGCCCAACAGTGTACATGTAACCTGCCTCTGCCATATCAATCTGGTTGGTGAGACCAGGCAGCATTACAAATACTTCTCTGATGCTACCTCACTTGTGACATGGATGAAATCTGTCTTCTTCAAGAAGCCTGCCAGAAAGCAAGGTGGGTTGGCTTCCTAATCAGCAAGGAGTTAGTGCAGACCAAGGCTCCTCCTGAAGCAGTGTGTACCAGATGGAATAGCTGGTTTGAGGCTGTCAAGTATCACACACAGCATGTTCACTTGTATAGAGAGTTCCTGCTAGCAGAGGAGGTAACAGCCATGGCAGTCAAGAACGTCCTCAGCCAGGTCGAAACAGAGGAGAAATTGCAGACTCACTCTCAAGTTAACCTTCATCTCAGAGACCTGCTCCAAACTGATGACAGCCCTAACCATCCTGGAAGGAACCCACTGTCCCACAGCAGTGTCTGCATACAATGTCATGGAGGATCTTGGCTCTTACCTTGTGAATGGAACAGCAAAAATGTGGTTATGGGCCCCAGACAGATGAGCTGCTGAGACAAATGGGGATTCGAGAGAGGAGGGAGGTGCTTGACAATCTCCATGATGCCTTCCATTTGGCTTTCACAAAGTTTTCAAAGCACTGGGACACACATCCAGCCAGAGGGGTCTTCAGACTGATCAGGGTGTTTGATCCCAGGCAGGCTCCAGTGATGGAAAAGCAGATTGAAGCCTACTCCACACTGAAGCCAATGGCTAACCCATCAGCAGAGCTCAGTGAACAGTGGCTCGCCTATCAGCACTGTGTCCAGGGATCCCTTGCTGGCTGAAATGGAGCAGGCCAACTACTGGAGAGGCCTGAGTACACGATTCCCGAGAGTTGCAGAAGTGGCTGTGCTCTGCATCTACTTCCTGGTCAGCTCAGTTGACTGCGAGAGGAGCTTCAGCAAATATAAAACTCTCCTCACAGACAAGCGAAAGGCTCTCACTGAGCTCAACACAAAGAGGCTGACAATCATGTATTTCAATGGCTATTTCTCTGCTAGGTGGGGAACTTAAATGGATAGAGATAGTATCTCACAAGGACTAACAAGTTTGACCTATGTGAATCACTTGCTTAAGTTTAAAAAAGTTTATTTTCTTTATTATTTTTCTGCTTTAATTTCATATCTCAGATATTTTTTCTCACTGCAGGTAATGTTGCTCACTGCATTTTGCCTTGTTTTTGAAGCATTCTCTTTACCTGAAAAACAAAAAGCTAATTGAGCACTTTATTTTTTATATTAGTCTTGTAATATGTTTTTCTGGAAACGGTTTAAAGCTCAAAAGTGTGTAGTACTTAAAGCACTTATTAGTGCAGTGTTATGCTGCATCAATCAGCAGTATTTGTTGTATGTGCAGAGAAAATGTGCAATTTTTTGTTGAATGAGTTCAGGGTTATTTCAGTTTCTGTTTTGTGATGCATTTTCTTTACTAAATGGAAAAGTAACTTTTTGCCAAGTATAACTGAGTGTTGCATAGTAATTGCAATTACTATTTTCTACTTGAAGAAAAAAAGCTAATTGAGCACTTTATTTTTATTTATTTATTTTTTAAATCAGTCATGTATTTTTTTTTTTACTTCAAACAGTTTGAAGCTCATAAGGATAATTTTGTTTACTCAAAGCCCCTACAAGGAACTTTTAACTGGATATGCAAAAGTCTCTCGTTTCTGCTGATGTCTGTGCGTGACCTACAACAGCAAATGAGACCATCTGTGTGAAGATAAGCTATTTCTATATAGTGTATATCCATACCTTTAGGAAACTGTCTCTGGGTCCGCCCCAGATTGCTTCCAGGATGAAACAATTTATGGCACTCAGAGGGCACACGTCATCTTACCTAGCTGCTTACATTTATAGTGACTCTTATAAATAGTTGCTATTCCTCCTCCTGACCCAACGTCCGCGGGGAGTTAAAATAGCAGCAATCATCGGGTAAAAGTTCTGTGAAAGCACTGGACTCACCAACAGTCAGCCACATCTCAGTCACACAGAGAAAATCCAATCCTCGGGAAGTCAGGAAATCCTTCAGGATAAACGTTTAGTTCACTAGCGATCTAGCATTTACCAGCCCAATCCTGGCAGGAGCCAGCGGGTCCACGGCGTTAGCTGTCCGGGGAGCCACACACAGAGGCCGCAGGTTGCGCAGATTCACCCCGCGCCAGCGGGGACAAGGAGAGCAGGGTCTGTGGGGCTGGAACACCTCATCCGGGCTGACGACAGGTACCAGCCAGGCGTTGACAGAGTCCAGCGAGTGCCGAGAAATAAAGAGGCAAGGCACTGCTCCATACTCAGTCCAAGAAGCCGTGGAAGTGCTCGCCAAACAGGCCTTCAGCCTTACCAGCTGACCGCTGCGTTTACCCCGGCGGCGGTGGTGCTTACGCCGAAGAGGTGGAGCTGGGGCGCGGCAGAGGTGAGCTGGGATCCCCAATAGGAGCGGGGGCAAAGTTTTCCCGTCTTGTTGTTTCATTCATCCCCAAAACAAACACATGCGCGAGCCAGGTAAGCGTCTTTACGACAATACGCGCTAGAGCTCATGGGAAATGTAGGCTTCATTCCGGCAAAACACTACCGCTTTTGTCCACACGGTCGCCAAAATCAACTCAAAATGAAAGTTCCTTGTAGGGGCTTTAAAGCACTTATTAGTGCAATGTTATGTTGCATGTTGAAGAATTATTTCTGACTTGAAGCACTAAGAAAAGTGTGTGCAATTTTGTGTTTAAATAAATGCAAGGTTATGTCTATTTGTGTATTTTATTCATTGGCATTAAAAACACACTCATTTGGTGGATAAATAAGAGTAAACTGTCAAAAATAGAAGTCCAAAACATTTAAAAACGGAATTTGGAAAAAATTTAAACGTATTTCATAGGGCTCTACTTGCATGTACTGTTCTCATGAACTCCTCCCTTTCTGCCCTGTTGTGCAGCACTTCACTCAGAAAAAGTGCATCTTACAATCCATTTATACTGTTGCATATTTTCATAAGGCCACATTAAGGTACCAATGTCAGTTTGATATTTTAAGTCTATTGGGTAGATTGCCATTAAATTTGATAAGCATTCACACTGCTGTAGTATTAAACTTGTAAACTTTGGTCATTGTATTTCCATGCAGTTTGCAGAGTGATGTTCTGCTTCTCATAAAATGAACCCTGTTGATTTCAGTGAGCTCATGTCATAGTCCATAACAGAATGTAATTACAATACTAAAGTGAAACTAATCTAATCTAAAATACTATTCCCACAAAGCGGAATCCTAACACATTATTTTTAGTAACCTGTCAGTTTGTTGACTCAATAACCTTTCCCCAGCACCATCCATATCAAAGTGTCTCCTGCTACCTTTTTTAAATGCCTGTTTTTCCCTCACTACCTTGTTTACTTAGTAAATGGCTCAGGTTTTATTATGCAAATATGCTCTGACAGGATAGGCCACTTCATCTGTTGTGGATGTAGACTGAAATTTTTAAAAAATATTTTCTTCTCTTCCTCTTATTCATTTCTCAACTTTTCCTTTCCCTGCTTCCTCCAACATACTTCCTGGTAGGAGAGTGAGGGATGATGGGAAAGTAGTAGTGGAGAGGATGCATGCATAATTGTGTAAACTCACTTCTCTTCTCTAGGGCTGCACAATTCTGGAAAAAATGAGAATCCCGATTTTTTGACCTATAATTGAGATCACGATTCTCTCACGATTTTTTTCAACATAAAGATTTATTGTGCTTATTTCCTGATACAAAAGGAAAAGTAACAAAAATTATAAATAAATAATAAAAATATCATTAAATAACAAAGCCTATGATTGTTCCTGATACAAGAGACACAAGGCACATAAACTCTGGTCAGCAGAGAGGGAACACTCCTGTTTTAGCTTTAGTCTGTTGTCTTCTCTTACAGCTTTTGAACAATTTTAACAATAATATCAATGAACAACATTTTTCTGAGGTAGGTATTCCAGGCCTGGAATTAAGTCAAAATTAAACGTTTCAACACCATGCATGTGACAGGGGTATTCACCTAACATAGCCTACATATCTTTAATTATATAATTATTTATATGTCTCTATGTATATTTTTACATAAATCCCCAATATTTAATTTGCCTTTAAAAAATCCTCTTCCTTCATTTAATTTGACAATGTTTATTGTATTGTATTATATGTATTAATTCTCTACAGGATCTTGTATGTTCTTTAATGTGTGTTCAATTTATTAAAAGAAAAAAAAACAAAAAAAACGTTTTGGTGAACCCTGCAGTAAAATGAGCCCTCTTCCTCAGAGAGGATCTTTGCCTCCCACTTTGTTCCTGGCAACAGAGCAGAGTGATCCGTCTTTCTTCTAAGAGGATCTTTGTACCCTGAGAGCAGGCAGCTGTTCTCCGTGTCCTCATTTAAAATATCTTTCGCTGGCGATTTGACACTCACTAGAAGCACATTATGACCCTTTGTAAAAGCTTCTGTATGGTACCTGTGTTGTACATGAGCTAACGTTAGCGGGTAAGCACTGAGAGGCTGTCCGGTATGTGTGTGTGTGTCCGAGTTGGCGCTGCTTGCCCGATCAGGCATGTCTGCGCAGGGTCTGCTGGCCTGCTGGCTATTTTTACTTGCCCCGGGAATTCGGGCAACCGTTAATGTCGGACCCTGCAGAAACAAGTGAATCCTCAAAGATTCCAGAACAGGCATCAACAGTTGAGATACTAAACCTTGTTGAAAACTCCCTTGACTCCCTGGAGGAAAAGCATAAACTGGTAAGATCATATCTGTAGTCACAGCAACATAATGTAATTTTTCTCTGATGTGCAGTATTTCAATCCCACAGCCAAAATGTCCGAATGGAATTATGCCAAATAAATGAATACATAGCTGTGGCAAAAGCTGAAAACCTTTGCATTGCATTTTCCATGACACCGCCTCCCCTTCTGTGGTTGTAGCTGCTTGCCGACGCGCGCACAGGCCGCAGTGGCGGCTGCAGTGTTAAAATATCTGGTAGTTGATATGGCCATAATTCTGGAATATTGATGGCTATATTGGCCATATTGTCAAAAAAAAGTCTAGTGTAAACTCTCATGGAGATATTCTGAACACTGAAAATGAGGGATGCGTGGCAGCACAACAGTTTGATGTTGTAAGCGCAATGACTTGTCCCAGCAGACCAGGCACAGTTTAGCACATTGCTTTCCCAATATTGGCTGATAATTAATTGGCTCCGATAATTATCATGCATCCCTTCTGAAAAGTTTGTTTTGTTTTGTTGTTAAACTGTTGTTCATTCCTCTGATTTCAGATTAGTTGTCAGATCAATTGTCCAAGGTGGGAGGACTCTACTTAAAGGACAATGTGAAGAGGATCATGGAGAGGTAAGATTTTGTATCTCTGTCACTTGGATGTTTACAGTTATTATTAAGGAAGCATCGATAGAACAGGATTTGAGTAGAATTGACATTGCATTGTTTAGGGGATTCAACGGTTGTCACTGGGCCAAAAAACAGCCACATTTATGGAACTTATGGGATTCAAGGATTTACTTTCAAAATATCATAGTGTATGCACCAAAGTGTAAGCCAAATGTCTCATTTTTCACTATTTTGCTCTCAAAGCACTAATTCCGTTGGTGGCATTTTGTTGCTGAACTGGCATTTTTCATTGTGAGATCTTCTGGCAGGGCCGTTTTCCCGGTGGGCCAACGCACCTTGGGTCTGATATAATACATTTTTTATTTTATTTTTATTGCTAACAACTGGCCCATAAAGCAGGGGCTCATTGGTTCATTTTCTATGACACTGGGCTGGCTCAGTCACCCATCATTTAATTTATTAAATGATTTGAAATTAAATTTTGACTTCCACCACAGCTTTTTCTTGGACAATTGACCCTTTGCTAAGCCCCGTCCCCTTGTTGGTAGTCCATCTAGCTGTTGGAGCTAGCATGGAGAATATACTTTCACTAACTGCCCTCCCTGACGAAATATTATCTAATTTCTGGAGAAACAAAAATGCGATTTCAGAGAGAAGCATACAGAAGGGTCTACAATATGTGTTTGAGGGATTTAAGCAGACAGGAGGACCAGTACAGAAGCTAATCAATGTAATGTTACTGCTGTGGAAGAGGTCAGCAGCTAACTTAAAATGTATTTTAGCCACCTAAAAACGGCCACCTAAACAAAATCAGTTTAAGTGTACGCTATATTAAGAACATTTTCACTGCTTTACCTTGCCATCAGACAGACTTTTCTGATGGGAAACTTAAGTTACATTGGTTGTTAAATCGCTCTCTCCCCGTCACCAGAGTCCCTTGACAAAAACAGTAATTTTACCTCGCATTGTAAAATTCCTGGTCCTGGGAGCTCCTGGTCTACTGCTGCCTCGATCGTTTAATTTGGTAGTGTTATTGTGTGACTTTGGTGAATCCGAACTAACCTTTCCATACACAGAGTCTTAAAATAATACAAACAAACTAATCTATCGAGGCAGCAGTAAACCAGCAACTCCCGTCTTCTGTGAGGTAAAATTACTGTTTTTGTCAATGGAGTCTACATTTTTCAGGGTTTGATTTTGGATTTGGAAAGGGGAAGATCTCGTTCAACCTCTCCGGGTAACGAGTATCATTATTGATTAAATATCCGACCGATACATGTCACACATTTCTTAATGTAGACTGCTGACCATACCAGCTACAGTTACATATCATATATTGCTGGATTCAGCACAGTCAGACCTTTCTAACAAACCCTGGTTGGTGTTTCTGGGACAATCCCAGCCAAAACTGCCTAAAAGTAAAGGACTAGCTTTATCATAAACCCTATTTTTTTTTTTAAATTTCCGCTTATTGTACCTTTACTTTTGTAATACTGTATTTCCTCAATGCATCAAAATATTCAGTCTGTTTTTTCAAGCAAGTAGAGGAAACCCCTGGCCACTGCCACACACAATTTAGGATGAATCAGAGCTTGCATTATGAAATTACATGAGTTCAGGTGTATCGACTCCCCTTCGACCTGGCTGTATTTTGCACTTATTTTATTTATGGGGTGTGCCATAATATCTGTCAATTTAATTACTTCTGCAGTAAAATATTTTTATACAAGAATCTAATTCATATAGGGGAGACCTTAGAGAATATGAAAAACATTGTTGTGCTTTGTTCTACCTCTGGTAGGGTATCTCGAAAACTAAGGCTCTTTTGGAGGTCTTCCCTCTAGCCTATACCTTGTCACTTGCAACGTCACAGATAACTTGATGAACCAGCTGAATCACTGAATTCCTAGTGTGATACATCCCAAAACATGCCACTGTTGGCACCATCTAATGATCATATATTCTAACAGTGGCATGTTAGTAACCAATAAGAGTACTGTTAAAGTATCGTATCGATAAGCAGTATTGTTAATAGTACCGTTAAAATCTTATAGATACCCATCCCTTCCTATGACCTTCCATCTAGCCCCACCAGTATAACCAGTGTGACATATGTGTTAGACATAACACACTTGTTTTTAACAGAAATTATTTCAATCAGTTAATAATATCGTAAGTGAATTATTTGGACATTTAAATAATTTCCCTTTCATATCCATAGATTGATGACAAATGAGGTCATTGCAAAATTCAATATGAAGGGAGGGAAGGGCAAGCTTGCCTTTACCAAGCTCTGCCTCTTCACTGTCATCACAGGTAAAAAGCATATATCAGAGTTATCTGGTGTCTATTTTGCTGGTTTAGTAAAAATCACTAACCAAGCAACCAAGTGGCCACCTGGCAGCTACCTACAAGAAATGTCAGATTTTCAGTACAGATTTTCTAGTGTAAACAAGCTGGATAGATGTGTTCTACATTCTTTGACATCCTTAAAACAAAGGGTGCCGCTGGCAATCACATTTTTCTCAGCAACTATTTTGATAAATCTTTAATCCTTTAGTCTTTTTTTTCCTAAGAAAAAAATGTCAATTCTGTGATCTTAGCTTCTCAGTTGTCAATATTTTCACTGATCAACATTTTTCACCATTTGCTGACAATTTATGGACCATACAACTAATTGATAAAGGGGCAAAAAGTGAAATAATTTCACCGCTAGGTTGCTGTTGTGCACTGCCTGTAGACCAAAACAAAGTGTGTCATGAGCCACGCCTCCCTCTACCTCTGCTCTCTACCATATATTATATATCTATATATATATCTATATTACATTTATTACAGGTACCATCATCATTGAAGTAGGCAAGGGAATAGCTAAACACAGCCCGC